CACACACACACACACACACACACACACACACACACACACACAGAAGAAAAAAGAAAAAGGGAAACAAAAGGCATTCACTTCTACATACAAAGACATAGACGCGTGCATGCACACGCATCCACAGGTTCCACACCCCAACGCACACAGGTGATGGTGGTTAGCGCAATTCATGCAAGTTGAGCAAGTGGTATGAATTATTCTTGTTTGTGGTTGGTTATGCAATTTGTCAATTATTGCAAGCTGCTGAATTGTTTGTGGTCAATTCATCGAGGAAGCAGTATAACAACGGAGCTGGTTTCACAACGATGCTTATTGGCAAATCCAGCGACACACGAAGAAGCAAAACAAAGAGACCACGAATAACAAATAACTTAAAAGTAAGGACATGCAACGACCTGCGGTTTTGCAGTGTCCAAGGGCTATTGTAAGTCTGAAGCTGCTGAGCAGAACAGAATGTGACATAACGTACGTATGGTGACTCAAACTTATAACATTTGATTGTAGAAATGAGCAGTTCATATGGTGACTCAAACGGTCGCCCCAAAAATAAGAAATAAAATAGGCCATGGTAAAATCGTGTATCAAAATGACTTCTGGCATCATCAAAAGGGAGAGGGAGTGAGGAAAAATTGAGAGAAGAGTATAGTTTTTTAAGGAAAAAAAAAAAAAGAAAAAAAGGGAGGGGTCAAAACTTCAATCCGATTTTGCATACGCTTACTGGTGCCGTCTGAACTTAGATCCTGCTCCTCTTCAATTTCTTGCTCCTTATTGCGGAAATTGTGTGCACGTTTGCCTTCGTTAATAAATATGAGACTTAATACTCCATGTTTGTGATTGCTTGATCGTCTTTGTTTTTGGGGAAAAAAACTGACAAGCACAACAATAACATTTGCGAAAGATTTTCTCCGCACAGGGAAATATCACCGACGATAAGGATTCGTCCCGTAATTTTCTTAGGCCTAAGGGTCTGAGCATGGACTCAAAGAGAGAATGAAGCAAGGATGTTGGAATTGAGAGGTACAGGAATCAGGATCAATCCTTTCCAGCCTGGCCAGGTTGAGATACTCAGCTGTAGGCTCATCTTCATCATATGATACAATGCACTCTGACTGAGGTCTATAAATGCCGAAGATGGACCCAGTGGACACGGCGGCATCAATGTTTGAAGAGCCGTCCAGGGGGTCAAACACCACAATGTAGTTGCCAGAGTAGCTCTCCTCAACAGCAACAGGTACATCTTCCTCTTCCGAGGCAATAATCCCGGTGCGTCCACTCGACCTTAAACAGCTTGAGAAGACCTGTCAAACAATCATTGTGCCCAAACAAAGTCAACATCAGTAATTCAATGTAATCCGCCCACTCATACAATACATTATAGTATGCTCAGTCGTGAACGTGCATACAATGCCATACATACATACGCACATATGCACATTCACAAATACATACATACATTCCATTCCATCTATTAGGTACGTACGTACGTACGTACCTACCTACCTACCCACCTACAGACATACAAACATACTTACATACATACAGACATACATGCATCCATCCATTCATGCATGCATGCATGCATGCATCCATCCACCCATCCATGCTTGCATGCATCCACACATACATACGTACATACACACGTGCATGCATGCGTACATACATAAATGCAGGCATGCATGCATGCATGCGTCATACATGCGGCGAATCATGTGCGCGCAAGTTGGGCACATGTGCCGCATAGCGCATGCGCACACGTGCGTGCGCATATGATGCGGCACATTTACATAACAAAAAAAAAGGAAAAAAAAAGGGTAGGCCGTGGTAACCATAAGTGTCCCTCCCTTTTGAAAATTGTAAGTGCACAGAAAAAATAAAATAAAATTGGGGGCCACTTTGTACTACTCATTGGATATATTCTCTTTCCAAAGGTCCCCTGCAAAGAATCAGCAGGGTTCCCATGCTTTTGGAAGGATGTTCATTGAACTGCCAGCCAACCATGAGCAGGCCAGCAATGTACCCTGGATTCGGATTCAGGTATGTGTTCCAAGAGCTATGGGTTACGAAAGTACTCCAAACACTACAGTAGCTGTCTCGTTTTTTTGTTTTCCCTTTTCTTACGTGCAGTGGCCCTAAGGGCCTCGCTTTACTCGTCACAAAAGAAAAACATATGGCTTGTATGGTTGCAGTTTCTAGGAGAAGATTCATTCTGGTTTTGCACTTTTGGTGAGAGGTGGTGGAGTGAAGCCCTGACAATCACATGCTGAGTTAGTAAGTCAGTAACCCATAACTGCTGAAACACGGACCTGAATTCGAAGCTACCCCATATGTAGCTGGCCTGCTCCCTCCTTATTACAAGTCCAGTGACTACCCTTCTCCTTCCGACGGGACCCTTGCCAATTTTTGGCAGGGACCTTTTGAAGTACCAGCAGGGGTTGTCTGACTAATGTGAAAGGGCTCTTTGCTCTCTCTCTCTCTCTCCAGCGTGTATAAACACATCACGGTTGCTTCTTTTTTTTGTTTCTTTTTTTCTTTTTTTTTTCTGCGCATCTGCGATCAGCGCACCGCACTGCGCATGCATGGATGTATGTGTGTATGCATCCATACAAAGATCCATACATACATAAAAAACATGCATGCATGCATGTATGTACATATGTATGCATCCGTCCACCCATACATACATACATACATACATACATACATACATACATTCGTACATAAACCCTACATAAATGCATAGCTTTGCACGGACATACATACACACATACATACACATGCATGCATGCATGTACACGGTTTTTTTTTTTTTTTTTTTTTTTTTTTTTGTTGTTGAAACACGGCTCCATCAATTGGTGGGGAGCTGCACCTGCTGGAAACCGGGTCCAGCGTCCCTTACATCATGAAAGTAAAGCAGAGGATAACCCTATGCTGGAAACCGGGTCCAGCGTCCCATTCTTACTAACTTTTCAATCCAATAATAGGGGCCTAGTCCATTCTACAAATGTTGAAGGAAGAGTACTACTAGACATGGGGAAGCCTCTTCAGTCAGAATTCTGACCGCCTGATGGGAAAAATTGAACCTAGTCTCCTCCTAATAGAACCCTGTCCAGCCTAATCCTATGCCATGTCCTCCCCTCCTCCAAACCACTCAAGATCCACCATTGCTGACGGAGCGGGTGGGAAGGGATCAGCAAAGAGTTCAGGCGCTCTCAAAAAAGCCCCTGGTTATGTCAAACCAATTCTGAAAGTTGGGGGGAACCCTCGACAGAGTGCTGTGGGTGGGGGCAACCCTGGGATTGGACTTGCTCCATCTTGGTCCCTTCGAAGTGCATTACTGCGCATTTCAAACACTCCAGTCAGACAGGGCCCGACCAAGTTTGACACAGTTGTTTGGTGTGTTTTCTGGCAGATGCCAGTATTCAGGTCACATGACCCTGAGCTTGTTAGGCCCTCTGAAGTCTTGGGCCTGCGATTCGTGTTGTGACTCGACTTCTACCCTGCATGGTGATCCGGGTGTTATCCAGTAAGCCTGAGTAAGGTGCTGTTTTCAAATTCTGGGCCCTTCAAGCCGGGGCCTGTATGAGGAGGTGTGGATTTGGCACTATTTCCTAAATTCCATAGGCCGACTTTAGCCTGCTTCTTTTGGGACCCCTGAGCCCAGGTTCCTATAGGAGTATTTGGATTGGTTTCAGCTCTTCAACTCAGTTCCGGGTTCTGTCATGTGGTCATTTTGACGTGGTTACGTATTTGCTTCGGTAAATACGAGCCGCCCTATCGCCTTCGTACAAGTCGTATGATTACACACCCGGCGCCAGGTAATGGGCCCGGAGCTGCCCTATCGCCTTCGTACAAGTCGTATGATTACGCACCCGGCGCCAGGTAATGGGCCTGGTACTCCATGTTGTAAGAAAGGGACGCTGGACCCAGTTTCCAGCAGGTGCTGCTCCCCATCAAAAGATTGGACTCGTCATCATTGCAGCACCCGACCTGACTGCTACTGTAGGGGGAGATGCTCGCATCACTAACCCCAGTAGAAAAGGCATCTTCTTCTTCTTCAAAAACAAAAGAAAAAAAGAAAAAAGAGAAGAGTTAGTATGTTCCCTTTCCGGCCTATTCTCGTCTCCAGCACCCGGGTTGTCGGTCATATGGACGCAGGTTAGATCAGTGGTATGATGCTGGTTCTTGGGAGTGAGTGGTCTGTTGGGAGTGTTTCCAGAACGTCATTCCGTCCCTGTGTTGATTTGAATCATTGTGGATGTCGTTCGTTCTTTGCTTCTCTTTATATGTTCTATTGGTGGAGTTGTCATCTTGTTGAATTGTTCTCTAACACAGGGTTGCCAGGCCGAACGCACGGAGGCCCCTAAGCTGACCCCCGAACGTTCGGGCGATCGGGTCCCCGTACGGGGCCGGAACCTGAAGGGGTTCGGACCCCGCAAAAAAATATTTTGGCACTTAAATATTATTATTGTTTTCTGCAAATGTTTCTGTAAATTCCTTGTGATGTAAGGTATCTCCCACTTAATTTTGAAGCCATTCTGTTCAGCCAAAAAAAAAATGAAAAATCAGCAAAGATGGTAGTGTCAGAACTTGCTTGCCCACTCACTAATTTGTTTTTTCTCTCTTTTCACTTTTTGTTTTGCCTTTATTTCGGGGCATGAAAAAAAATATTATTTTTTCAAACTTTATTTGTATATTGTCTATTGTGTAAGTTACACTATATAAATTTTCATGGAATTTGTCACAGCCAAAAAAAAAATGAAAAATCACCACAGATGGTGGTGTTCAAAAAGTGCTTGCCCACTCAATAATTTCATTCTCGTTTTATTTTTTCTAATTTTCATTATTATTATTTATTTTCAGTATTTGATTTTTATTTCAAATTTGGTAAAGAATTTGGATGTAACGTTGAGGCCAATGTTGTTCAGTTTATTCTTCTGTATAACATATATTGTTTTCAGTTTTTTTGGACTTCTTTTTTCTTTCTTTTTTTTTTTTTTTTGTTAGTCCGCCTCCAGCCGAACGGCCGAACGCGTCGAGAAGCGGTGCGGAACGTTCGGGCGGTCGGGGTCAGCCGTTCGGCCCGTCCCGAACGCCAGCAACCCTGCTAACTAATAATAATAATAATAATAATAATAATAATAATTGTTCTCAACTTCTCATTCATATTTCACAAATCCTATGAGGTGATTCATGATTAGGGTGCGTTGTGCTCGGGGGAAGATGGTAGGCCGATCAGACCATTGACCACAACGACGCGGAGAATGCCGATGCCAGGTCCTTTTATTTAACAAAACAAAAAAAGAGGGTGCGTTGTGCTCGGGGGAAGACGGCAAGCCGATCAAACCATTGACCACAAGGTCCACAACGACTCGGAGAATGCCGAGGCATAACATTCAGGAGAGGAAACTCCCCACCACCAATAGATTGGAGCCATCAAAACCAGGAGGAACCCACTATTGGAGGCTCCTCATACCACCCCCAATAAACAGTCGGTGCGCCTTAATGATGGTTCAAAAAAAAAAAGAAAAAAAAAAGTAATGGGGAAAGGCGATCTGTTTAGCTGCACTATGGATGAAAAACTGCATTCTATTTTCCTTTTCGTTTTTTTTTTTTTTTTTTTTTTTTTTTGTCGCCAGGGAGGGAAGGGGGGCGCTCCGGGGGGTCTTAAATTTCCTCCTACCTTCTTCTCCCGAACATAATGCATATGCGTTGTATTCGAGTTTCAAAATTTGGAAAAAAATTCGAGTTGAATGCATATGCGATGTATTCGAAATTTAGGGCTATAATTCGAACAGAACGCATGTGCGTTGTATTTGCATAGAACAGACATTATGCGTTGTACTCACTTACAACACATATGCGCTTTTTTTTTTTTTTTTTTTTTTTTTTTTTTTTAATGCGTTATGTTATGGGGAAGAAGGTAGTGCTTTTGATTCTTATGTCTGCCCTGATCTCATCACTACCGTCTTCACCCGAACATAATGCATATGCGCTGTAAACAAATACACCGCATAGGTTGCTTTCTATTCAAGTACAAGGCACGTGCGTGCTATTTCGAACGGCCGTTATTTTCGAATACAACGCATGTGCGCTCTGTTCAAATTTTCGAAATTTTCAAAACTCGCTATGTTCGGGGGAAGATGGTAGTGTGTCTGAATCCATCTGCAATCCTGCACAGCATCGAACTCATGATCTGATCGACATGTTTTTTTCTCTCCTTAGCAAGATGCCTTAACCACGGCAATTTGCACGTCTTTTGTTTTTTCCACCAGTACACCCGGGCCTGGCGGCCCGCACT